GGTCGTGTGCAATCAACCACCTTCTACATAAACGGCGCTTAGTACTCTGCGCGGGCCTGCTCGACACATTCTCTCTCCGTTGAGAGGGCGCAAAGAAAACGATAAAGGGGATGCGAGCACACGCTTTAAGCGCGTCAATACGTCGCGCATTGTACGTGACTACAGCAGGAACATCATAATGCACGCTCATTCAGGTGCTCACCGTGTCCAAACGGCTTAACCTTCTTCCAGACAATGGTAAAACAAATAAGAAAGAAGAAACCTCGTAGTCTTCAAAAATGTCTTCGCCTCTTTCCAACATGCTCTTTGAAGGAAGTTATTATTGCTGAAAGCTCGAAAACTCGCATGTGCTGCTCAAAAACCTATGGGATCCAAATGTTCGAACGTGGGATTTTCTCGAAAAATGAACTTTGAAAAACGGTTTAGGGCTTGTTAGAAAGAGCAAATCCTGTCTTTCACCCCATGAAAAAAGTGCATCACAGAAATGAAAATGAAGTGAGTTATGCCCGCTGAAAGCCCAAAAACTCGCTTTTGCACGAAAAATGTTCGAACGGGACGATTTTTTGAAAAAGAGGACAATCGTCAAACTTTTTATAATGTTTTGTTAGAGAAATATTTCAAGTTTCCGAAACTTTTTACAGATTTCCAAAATGTCGCATACGAAAGATTTTATGGGCCTTCAAAGTTGGAGGTGCGCCTTCTCAGAATTTTGGGTTTTCCGCTTCTAACAGAAGTACTTTCGGAGAGTTAGGCAATCCTTGTAGTTTTCTGGAAGCGCACCTCAGGCGCAATCAAAATCTACCTCAACAAGTCAAAAAATACGTCCCAAGAAAGTTCCCCTCTGAAATTTTTTCTTCGCCGCGCACCCGTTTTCGCGTCGGTGATACTGCCGGCTCAGGCGAAGCGACGCGGCCAGACGCTTTCTTAGCTAACAATTCACTTCAGCACTCTGGTTACAAACAGGTTGACAACTGGACCTGCAAAAATCGAAATGTTCGAAACGGACGTGACCTCCCACCCAAATCGATTTCGCCCTAATTCTGGCAGGCATACTTTTCACTGGTCTAAGGGCTATGTCAGATGAGGTCGGTAATTTTGTGCTTCTTCGGATGCTTTTCTCAGAACGGACGTTGTTGACCCTGCATTCAGGGCAATCCCTACACCTTGAGGTTCCTTGCATGCGCAACAATCGGTTCGCATCCCGGAAGCTGATGTGTGACCTAGACCCGAGTCTGGCAGTTTGTGAAGCTTGGAAGAAATTTGACGGTAAGTAGAACACACTGATTTCATTTATTAAAGGAAGTCGGTAAACTTACAAAAAAAGTAGCCACAAGGTCGGGCATTACCTATTTCTTAGTAGAGCGTTCAAAATTCCAACCATATGTCTTAACAGAGATATCGTTGCAAGAACCTATTTACTAATAATGATCTTTTCATAGTGAATTGATGGTACGACAAGTCAGCAAACGCATGTATATGAACAGATTCGTAGTCCACATTTGTTAACCGGCAAAGTTTCCTGCAGATCAGGGAGAGGGCGATGGCAAGTAAAGTCGGTACCTCTAGCGTGATCCTGGAAGTCAATATCAAATTAGTGAATCCTTTGGCCATCTAGATTACATGGAAATCATCAGGGGACTTGAAAAGCGTGAATTGTGAATAAGATCCTTTCGCATGCCGGTTGAATGGGGTATCAACAAAAGAACCAGATCGACGTCGGATGCTTCACACTGCTTGTGTTTTCAGAGCTACGGAGCTCCAGCGCAACTTGTGGTTAGCAGTAGGAAAAATCTCGCAGCCTGCTTGGATCATGCTCGCTCCTGGTTGCTCATGCTCTTATTATGCTTTGTTAATAATCCACTGAAAGACATTCCGCAATCGAGCGAAGTGGCCCAAACTTTCTTCGAATAGGACAAGTGGGTCTGCAACAGTAAAGGGTGCGAATGTGTGCCATTTCCGGGACTCGGAAGGTTGGCATTTCTCAGGGGTTTATCATTATGGGCAGCGGCCATCCGTGACTGTGAATGTGCTCGTACCTACGTCCGCCTCGCTCTTCGCTCATCTCAAAATCTGTTCTCCAATCTTGATGTCGATTGTCCCTCTAAATGGCTGTATCGTAGAGTGACTTGCTACTTTTACCGCCCAAGAACTTTCGCCCTTGTTTCGCGTTACCGGGCGGACTCCATTTATTTTTTCATATCTGGCAATGTAGTTTGTACCTCTAATTTCATTTTGAATTGTAGTAGCAACATCTCTCCCATTGGGATATGAGGCTTCTGGGTCGGCCACCAATGGGAAGAAGCACATGGAAGGAAAATTTTTCATTGGGGCTACAGAAACGCAGACAAAAATGCACGCAAACGCAAAAAGGTTGACTAACAATCAAGTTGAAATATGAAAAAAACAGCTGTCAGGAGTATTTTTGAATCTCAATCACTACATTGTTATTATCACATAGCCATCATCAATCAAGCATCAACTTTGACTGGTTATCCACGCATGCCTTGAGATCTTCAAAGAAGTACCAGTGAAACTGCTTTCATTCTTACGCACGAAAATAAGAGCATACCAGCAGCGAAGGAAAATGATAAAAATTTGGTCAAAGACGCCAACATTAAGGGATTCCTCATTTTTGTAGTTTGGCTGTGTTAGGGCAGTGAGGCACTGAGGGACTATATGATAGTAGAGTGAAATGGCGATATAGAGCAAAGGATGGAAAGGCGGAGACGTTCGTGTTACGAACGAGCAAAAATGGAAGCGATCGACGTGGTGCCTGATTGGACATTTCTATCCTACTCACCACACGAGTTGATCCGCATGAATTATCGTGGGATATGCTTTTCAGTCACTTTCAGACAACAATTCGTAACATGCTTTCATTATTCTGTGATTTAGGTCCGGATCCCGATGATCTCCTCGATCAAGGCCACACAAGCCCTCAAGGCACTTTTACACTGAAGGCAAGGACTACTTATCTTCACTAGCTTTTCTTGAGGTAAAACCAATACACACCATCGGCTGATATTTTGTTTAAGGGTTCGGAACGTGAGCTCACAACAATTGATCCAGTTTTCAAGGTGTACCATGACTGCGATGACGGAATCAAGGTATGATGAGGTGTTTTTCAGAAGATTCTGTAGGCACATTTATGCATATTTCAGCCTGGCAAACGCAAGGTGAAGTTCCGCATCCCTAATTCCTACATCACTAATGGACCTGTTGCTAAACGCACGTTCGATATTGGAGTGCTCAACCTGGAGACGATCTTCCCTAAAGAGGAGCGTCATCTTATCTAAATAATTATTCATGTGTTTTGTATAAGTCATTGTTTGAACGGGACGAGTAATAAAGCTGACTACGAAGAACTTTCGCACCCGTAGGAAATCTCACACATAGGTACATGGTTGTCCCTCGTTCATACATCAGCAAGAAACTATTTGCTCTTTTTCTTTCGCCACTGCCAAGTTTGGTCTGAAGACTGAAGAAGGCGGATCTGACGAATGTCTTGCCTGTCTTGCCAGGCTCCTTCCACAGTCTCGGAGCATCTCCTACTAGACCGCGAGAATTTAACTGGAGCCCATCCGCCCCTTTTATTTGTCCATCTATCATGACTGCTTCCAATGGTCTTTCTGGTTCTGGCTGACTCGACCTCGCCGTGACTTGGTGATTGATATTTACTTCCCGCAATTTGTGTGTATCAGAGCTATGCACTG